CTCTACAGAACCCACTGAGTTATGTTAAAAACTTTTCTGTTAGTGACCATGGAAAAAGCCAGCCAGTCATTCATAAATGTCTCAGCAGCAACAATAAGCCATGTGCCAGTTGTCAACTTGCTCATGTTTGATGTCCCCAGCATGGTAACCTGCAACAGAAACCTTAATTACTAGATTTTTGGCACTTCAGCATTTAGTGCATTGTAAAGTCAGTGCCTCTGGGGAAAAAAAAAAATCATCAAGTCAAGCACCCTGCCATGGGCATGTTCTGGCACTTGGGAATTCAGCTCCTGGCCCAGAATTGCTCTAGCATGCTAACTGGCACTGCAAAATGCAACTCTCAACACCCATTGAGACTTAATTTCATCAGAGACTTTCCACTTAGTGGAAAAAGGATCAAGACTCTAGAGTTGAGAATCAAGTTTTTAGACAGATGTTTTCCACTGAAAGTACTGTTGACAGAATTTATAAATTAAGTGGAAAACATGTAGTAATTTCAGTTGCATTTAAATATTTAGAAATTTTAACACCAAGAAAGCACATTGTTTCTTCACTTATGTGATTTTAATTCTAAAAATTTAAGTTTAAAATAAAAACCAGGAAAGTAACATGCTTCACTCCATTCTAAAAGGAATTTTCACTTTCCACATCTCTTATGAAAACCACTACCATCAGCATACATGAATACACCTGACACTTTATTCAACTCTTCAATTCAGCCTGTGAATAAAAATATCAACTATAACCACAACTATATTGGGAAATAAATTGCCCTTTATACAAGCTTTGCAAGGCAGCAAAAACTTTTGGTTGAATTACTTTCTTTTTCTGTTTCACGGGTTTTAATTTGAATTTAAGTATACACATGATTACAAAAGAGCAGCTGCCCTCATAGCTAAGGGTAGACACATGATCAAGTACTCTTGCTGAGGGAAGTATTTGTTACAATGCATAGTATTCTCAAATTCTTTGCTGAATCAAAGCTTTCCACTTCAGGTCAAATGTTACGGCAGTCATTGTTCTTAAGACAGAATGAGACAAAAGTAGCTTTAGCAAAATAATTTTAGTTACATGCATCGATAGAATTATGCAAGCTTGCCTTATATCCCTCCAATTTTTATGAAGTTTTTCACCTATGTTATTAATACAAACTATTACAATGAAACATAATTTTAGCAAGTACACTTTTTTTAGTTTCCCATAAAACCTTGCTACAGGATTTTGACCACCACTTAGCTTTGGGATGCTTTCATATCCTGAAAGTAAACTGCATTCAGTATAAAGTCTTAGTGGTTTTCTCCCTGTTCTGTCATTTGAGAAAGAGTAAACAAACTTTTCCTGCAGTCACAATACTGGTGTTAGTCTTGGAACACTATTAAAAGTCAGTGTCATTACTAAGCTGTGTCCTGAGTGCACTCAAAAGATTCCACAGTTCAAATACACAGAAGTAGTAGAAAAGAAAAAGTCCAATAAAATAACTGACCTGCACACAAATGAACATATAGCAAAAATCCTCTTGTAAAACAATAAGATAATTTTGTAATAAGGAAAACATCTAATCTTAACCATGTGTCAGTCTGTCACATAAGTATCACATAGGTGTGACTGGGTGTCAAATAAATGCTTTCAATCATTTAAGGACACAAATGGTTCAGAGATTCAAATGCCTGCTTAGTAATTGCCATAACAGAGCCAAGGAGCAAGCCCAGATCTCCTGGCCTGTGCTTCAGCCACAGGCCTACTCCAGCACAAAAATTATCCAGATTTCTTGCTGTCCTACAGGAGGACAACCTGTGTCACACCTTTCTGTGCCTGATCACAAATACTGAGAGTCTCATTAAAAGTGCTAAAGCTTCCTAATACAATAGACTAAGTGATTTGTAATAGTTATTTACAATACAAGCCTATTTTGAGTTGTAGAATATGATCATCCAGGAATGAGTTCACATTTGCATGCTGCAAGTAGGTTTGGTTTTTTTTTTGGCCTGAGATGCCTGTGCAGTCTCCTCAGCCATGCAGCATCCCGTAAGAGCCCAAGCACTGTTCAGGCATCTCCCCTGCTACAGTTGCTAAATCCTTCAGCTTCACCAGGATGGAGTACATTTTCTGTCAGGCATTCTTGCTGAAAACCCCCAACAACCCCTGTGTAATAGGCCGCTATAGGAACATGATTTTTTCATTTCGCATCTCTCCAAGATGTTGGAATTTTCTACAGAACTGCAGTTTCTACAGAAACTTTGCATATTTTCCAATATGCAAGCATTTATTTCCCAATATTTATGTGAATAACTAAAACAAGCAGTCTATTACAGCAAGTTCATTGAAATTTGTGTTAAAACTATTGTTAAGCTGCATTTATTCTGGAGGCATGTTTGTCCTACAGGTTCTGATCTTATCTTCAGCCTGTACTGAGAAATTGCTTCTATGAACTTTGGAAGGTCAACTTGTTAAACATCTATCCACTCTTCCTAATCTTCTACAAATAATAATTAACTTAATTTTCTGAGAAGGGGATGGTGACTTTACTACCCAAGTCATGTCATCTATTTCAGATGACTTGTACTATGCTGCCTCCAAAGGTTTTTCCCT